GACACCAGCACCTCCCTTCCTGGGTGCTCTGCAGCAGGAGGGACAGCTGCTCCGACATTCTTGTCGGGCTGGAAGGCTCTCCTTGCGTGACAAGAAACCAGTCCCACCCTACCTTTGCAGTGCTCCAGAGTGGCATGAAGATGGACACTGGAGGACAAACAGTTACTCTCAGTATAGGGCACAAAGCAGAACTTTTCCAGGGTGGGAGGGATCCGTTCCTGCTGTCGTCGTGGTGCCACAGAAGCATGAAGACCATCGATCTGAACACCTCCTGCTTTAAGGCTATCAACACAGCGGTCCACAACAACATCGAAAGCTGAAAGACAGGCAAGAAACCTGCATCAGACACCACGAGTTTCTTTCAAAGCGATCAGAACAACAGAGCTATGGAATAGCTTCGAGACCAAGAGGCCCTCAGAGTCCATCCTGCTTCTTTGGGAGTCAGACATTCACGCACACAGCGGGCAAACCGGCTAGGACAAGCCCCAGCGCGAGCGACGTTACCTTCCACACCGTCCTGGTACTGGCAGGCCAGCTCTCGGTGCAGCTCCGGGTCAATACACACCGAGCGGATCCTGGTGGGTAAGCGCAGGCTGCGCCCCGTCTCAGCCAAGATGATCATATGGAGTAGGGTGTCAAGGAAGGTCACCCAGTTCCCATTCCACAGGACTTTCCCAGCGCTTGCTGCAGAAGAGGAGGAAGGGGAAGGCCCACTGTGATTTGGTCATCCAGCAGATCCCAGAAGTCAGCGCTTATCTAACGCCAAGTCTGCTGTATGTGCCCAGCCTCCCTGGGAAACGCCAGCAGCCAGTTCTACGCCGGAGGGAAGAGCCTTCTTTCCCTGTCAGCACTCGTTTGTTCTCCACCATCACACAAAGAAGTTACCAAACAGAGCACAGTCAGGTGGACTGTTCACACAAACAGGACCGAAAGATCAAATATTCATAATTACAATAACCACGCTCAGCATCCTTCCATAGAAAGGAGATTCACCTTCACTGTTGCACTCCAGAACACCCTGGAAAGTTGGTCCATAATTATATCCACGCAGATGCAGCTCTTGGTAAATGTCTTCTTTCAAGAGGCCAGACTTGGAGCTCATGTCTGCTCGAGTCTGGAATTTAACTGGCTGGTTATGGAAGTTCTTCAGAGCAGTGTTTTCCAGGCAGGAAATCTTCCCTGATGGGCACAGTGGCAAGAATAAGAATTGTCAGTGTCCATAGATAATGGATTTTAGTAGGACAGTGCATACACTTGCAGTTCCTTCACTTACCACTCACAGCCAGATTCCCGTTCCCCGACACCTCAAAGCAGTGGGAAGCCGGCATGAGTCTCACTTCCAGCTGTACTGATCCTGCAAGAAACATGGAGGAAGGCAGGACTGTGAGCTCGTTCACTGCTACCATCCTCGAGCAGAGCTCTCTCCGTCACCATCTCCAGACTCGCTGCACAGGACATGTCATTAAGATGACCACAACGAGTGCGACTTGACTGTACAAATTCACTTCGTTCGGCCACGCTGCACTCTCTGTATGCTGTCTCCTATGTTCCTCCTCACTTTCCCCTTCCATTCCTTTCCTCCCACTCCCTTCACCTCCATGACGCAGTTCTGCGGTTGCGCCAGCACTCCTCACTCACCCTTTTTGGGAAGGATGGTCGCCTGATGAATTGTGACCTCTTCGAACACGACAGCTGTTTCGTCCATAGCCATGCCGAGGGACCGTGCCAGCGTTCGCCAGGCCAGGACCAGGTACCCCGTGGCTGGGTACAGGACTCTGCCGTCAATGCAGTGACCAACCAAGTAGTGGTCAGGAGAGTCAGGACTCACATCTGTGAAAGAATAGAGACCAGGGTAAAAATAATAACACCCTACTAAAGAGGTCTTTTCCCCTCAATGTCTACAGGAGCTTCCAGAGGCTTCCCCAGCCACGCTGCTTGGCAACGTGCAGCTCTTAACACTGCAGCGTGTCTGAAGCAGCCTCCTGCTCTGTTCGTATCCTTTCATCCCACGTCAGAAGCAGACCCAGTATCTTTCAATCTAAACCAAACCAAACCTTAAGCTTCAGAAGATGACTTCAAGGATGCCCACTCGAGTATCTTTTCCCTAGTTTTACTAAAGAAATGCAGAGGTAAAGCTGGAAAGAGAAACAACACCCAAACAGGCAAACACACCGATGTTGTAGACTGAAGCAGATGCAGAGCCTTTGGAACCTGCTGGGAAGTCTTCAGCTTTTGGAACATCCCAGTCCTGGCTGTGGTCCCATTTGATGTATGGGGATATAAGTGGTGTTCCCACTGGGACTGGGTATTCCACACGTGGGAACAAGTTATTTCCAAGAATATTTATCCTAGGAAGACAAAACAGAAAGGATCCAAACAATGCGGGGGATAGACCATAATACTTAGAGCTCAGACTGTAATTGGTCTTGAGCTGTGTCCGAGACTCCTCCAGAAGTACCACGAACGCTGACTGCAGCCAAGTCTAACTCTAACAGTCTGCACGATGCAGAGTTTGTTTCCAAGAGCTAGTTCCAGGCTCCCACACCTCTGAAGCGGGGCTCCTCCTTGAGAGGCACCTCCCCAGCCATCTCTAGCCCGCGGCAACGCTTCAGAAACGAGCGTCACAGGTGTGAAGCGCAGAGGGAAACCCCACTGCTTTCCAACCCTGCCGGAGTGTTTCAATCCTTGTGACCACACAATCCTTGTGACCACACATATGCTAGAGAAAAGACTTGCCTTCTCTCCTGAGAAGTCTCTATCCCAGTCACCCTCCTCCCTTAGCCTCCTTACCCAGTTAAATGAATCTTCCCCGTCTGTGTTAGGAAGAACTCCAAGTTATTTTTGTGCTCTTTCTTCATCAAGGGTAGAATGGTGCACGTTGGTTTCAACGTTCTCCTCAGGATGGCCTGGTCAGGCAGAGGCATAAGTCACTGGAGGGAGGCACTACCTCCACCCGCACCTGAGCTTCTCTACACAACTCAACCCCTCCGTTTCCATGCCAGGAGCTCCCTGTTGGGTGCCAGGATGCCCGCCGTTCCAACAGGCACAGCGCCCAGCACCCCGGACGCCGTGCATCTGGTAAAGCGGAACCTACCTAACATTCACAGGATTCTGCTGCAGCACGGCTCTCCCTTTCCCCAGCTGACTGTCAGGTGGAATCAAAAGCTGCACTTCAGGAACGGCAACACCACCCTCTGGGGCCGCCCACTTGCACACACCCCACACCGCGCCAGCTTTGGCCCTTACTCCCAGGAGCAGCCCTTTTCCGTCTGAAGCATCCTAGGGCATTTTCAAGTCCCAGCTACTGAACATCTGGCCCAACCTGTATCTCCTCTTTAGTCTGAGCTTTGAGCCCAGAGTCTTGAAATGGGAGGAGGAAGGGGTGCAGGGAGAAAAAGCCAGAGCACTCAGCCCCAGCTGGTGAAGCGCTGGAGTCCACGTTAAAATCCCTGTGCAGCTCTGAAGGGTATGATCTTTCCACAGAGAAACCCACCAGCCTCACCGGGAAGCTCTGCCCCGACTCTGCCTTCAGGCCACTTGTCAAAGCAGAAGACCGACACGACATAATGAGCACGCACTGGCCTGGACTCCGCAGCACTGACTGACTATTCAGCTTGGCTCCCAAGTACCTACGATTCTTCCCCAGACGCTTCCCCTCGTGCCAGCCACGGGCCACGTGACAGACCAGTCCTCCAGACTCGAGCACAGGCACAGCCCCTTTTTTTTTTTTAAATATTAACCTACACCCCCCGCCCCAAAAACCCAAACCAACTAAAAAACCAATCAACCTCACAAAAACCCCATCAATAAAGTGTTAAAACTGGGAGAGACTCAGAAGTACTGGAGTGAGAAAGTGTTCTCGGAAGGGGGCAGAGGAGGAAGCGTTTTCCTTGGTCCCCAGACCCGCAGTCTCCCTCCCGCAGCAGCCGATCACGACAGCACCGCGCTCCACAGTCACATACCTGCAGAAGAGCATGCGGAGCAATCTCCACCACCACAGCATTCTCAGGAATGTGCTTCAGACCTTCCTGGAACAGCACGGGATTCACGAGGTTGTTCACGTGATACTCTGCAGAGGAATTCCTTGCCAGATCACTCTGCCACTGAGATTCAGGGATAGATGTACTGATCCATCGTGCCGAGCGAGGTTTAGGGTGTGGAATGACCTACAGACGGACAAGGCAGGAGGAAGTTACGTGTCGCAGGTAACGGCAGTCCCTCCTTCTCCAGGCCGTTCTTCCCAGCTGGATGGCTCAGCGCATCCTCCTGCTTAAGGCCGCAGGACTTCAAACCCCGGGTCTCTGAGGCCTACACGCTCTTCAAGCGACTTCCCTCTCCTCCGACAGGCAGGAAGCCCCCGAAGCCCAGCATTGCCCCTTCCCAAAGCAGGTGCCCGAGCGGAAGCGTGCGAGGCGGCGGCGTTACCTTCTGCAGGGCGCTGAGCAGCGCCGGGGCGATGGATGCCATGTAATAGGAGTGAAACGCCACGCCAGCGCTGCGCACCTCCTTTGCAAACACACCGTCCTTCTTCAGTTTGGCCACGAACTCGCTCACAGAGTCCTAAGAGGAGAAACGGAAGTGAGCTAGAAATAAAAGCTCACAGCAGCATACTGGGGAACTGCGAGAGTCGCTGCAGTCCCCCCACGCCCGTCATCACGTCAGGGGAGCCGCATCTGGGATGCGCTCTTCTGCCCTTCTCAGGCTTGTGATTTATCGCTCCTTATGCCCACAGCTGTAAGACTTTTCCATGGAAGAGAACTTTTAGCCCCAGCTTACTGAGGCACCAGCATCCCATCGCTGTCCCCTCCCACCACTGTAACCCCCTTTGCAAGGGGCCGAGCCTGAACTCGGCTTCACGCCTTCTCCACATCCGACTCCGCAGCTCCCAACCGACTCCCGGGTCAGTTCCTGCTCACCAGAGGCCCCGACACAGTGACCGTATCTTCGGAGTTGTGACAGGCTGGTACCACATTGGGAGGGCAGCGCTGCTTACATTCCTCCCACGTCAGACCTGCAGAAGGAAAGATCAGGACAACACGAGTGGTTCCAGCAGCACGGGGAGGCGATGCAAGCTGCACCGTCACCGCGCTTCGTTCGGCAACATGGGGAAGGAGTCTTCAGAGAAAGACAGACATCCCGCCTGTCCCTAAAACTGATTCTGCCAAAGCTAAGGATATTCATCTCAGGGCTTCCACGTGACATTTACCACCGACACTGCACACAAGACGGAGGACTGAGCCCTCGTGCAGCATGCCTAGACACACGCCGTGATGAGTGTCACGTGTTTAACGGCAAGGGAAAAAGGTGAATTGCGTGGGTAGCGCTTTGGAGCAGCGGGGAAGTGCAGGGTTCTACCGGGTGATCAGTCACAGGCACCGCATGAGACCTGCCCCAGCTCGTTTCAGTTTTTAACTGACCACTGCGTCCAAGAATCAGAAACAGAACGATGCTACCGATAATGATTTTAGACATATAAATCACCGTAAAGCCACACCACAAAGAAAAACTGCTGGGTCCAAAGCTCAACATTTCAGCCAACAGTGGGCAGAACTGTGTGATTTAGAGAAGTGCTGAGCAAAGCTTGTTCAGCAGAGCGCTTCTTCCTAAGGGCTATCAGGGCCAAGTAAGTTCCACCGGCATTAAGTGCCACCAGCCAGGTGCTCAGCACATAGTAGTTGCTTGGTGGTTTCATGGCTCGTTACTCTCACAGATAATCAGAAACAGCTATTTTTTTACTAATTAAAAAAAGAAAAACCTTGAGATACATCTCAAGAACCAAAACCCCGAGGTGCCTCAGACTTTCACCTCTCTTTTCAAGGCAGACTATTTACCAGGCCTCTGCCACTGGTCACCTGTCAATAAATCTCTCCATTTCCACTAAGTTTTGGATGGATTACTGAAATTCTACTGTATTCCAGGTCAGAGATTATTACTATTATATCAACTTCAACATTTAATAACCTGTTCCACATCAGAAGAAAAAGAGGCCACAGCAGCCAAAGTTTTACAGACACTGTCTCCAGCAACACATGCCAGAGCCCAGTTTTATCCCAATGCCGCACGGAGGGCGGACGTACTTCTCCGCATCGCTCTCTTGGAGAGGGAATACCTACCGACAGCAGCCATTCCTCCCGGGGGCAACTTGGCCTCTTTAACGCACCGTCCCCGCCAGTAAGCGGCAAGAATGGCTTCTTCGTGACTTAAGGAGTTATCTGCATAGCCACAGGCCAGTTCTCCCACCGAGTGGCCCAAAATCCCATCGGGTTGCAGACCTGCAGCCTTCAGCATATCAATCTGGGCAATCTGCAGGGAAAAGCAGGATTAGTGACTCCAAGGAAGAGTAAGCAGATGCTAGGTCCCCAGGCACACAGCGGTAGGGGTTTTGGGTACAGATGTTCTTCCTAGCCTTGCTGCTTTCCCCCTGTCCCAGCTGCTGCTCCAGCCTCATTTCAAAGCAACCCCAGGAATCATTATGTGACTCCAGTCTTGTTTGGGCCTCCATGTAGCTTCCCACTAAGAAGCCACTTCCAACAACAGGAGTTGCCAAGAGCACGCCTGTACAAAGAGACAGGACCAGCTTCCCAGATGACTTTAAAAGCTCTGTTTCTTAATAAACTAGAGGCAACGGATCCCACGTTGACACTCAGAATTAAGAGACTTTATTTAGCATCATGTAGTTATTTGCAGAGCAAATTCTGGAAGGCATTCTATGGAACCTTGCTCATTGGCACGAACATAAACCTTAACGACACTCCTCAGTCTCTTGAAAGCAGAAGCTGCCTCCGCATGCAGAGGTACACATGCAAACCAGTTAAAACCAATTTCAGCCAAGCCTCTTGGCTTGGTGTTGGCCTTTGGCAGAGGCCAAAGCTGTCACGACTGCAACACGCTCCCTCCTATCAGAGATACCTCTGTCTAGCAGGGTGTGCTTACGCGAGCCGAGTCCATCACCCCCTCCGCCCGTCGCGAGTCTCACCTGGATAGCAGCCAGTCCAACGAACGCATGGACCGTGTCCTCAAAGGTGTTCTCATCTGCCTGCAGAAGCAGGTCCGAGACCTTCAGGCCTGTGTTCTTCAAAGCCTCGTCCGAGCGTAAGATAGACTGGCGAAACAGATCCAGCTTCATAAGGCTCAGGCCCATACCCTTCCACTGTGTTCCCATGCCTGAGGGTAGGCAAGGAGAAAGGGAGCTTCAGCACCGCACCGCTCACGGGGCAGACAGCACACACGTGCTCCGGCAGCGAGCGACTGGCAGAGCAAAACACAGGACACTGCTAACATCCTCCAAATCAGGCCCCACTTTTCACTGTCCTGCATTTTGCTACCATCAGAGACGGTAAAGGTGGTGGGGTTAGCTGAAACACAGGAAACACGAGTCTCCCCGACTTATCTTGCTGCCCTGCGCTATCTCCTCACGCCGGAGTGGAAAACAGCGCTGCAGCACAGAACGCGACTGCTCGAGCCCCAGCTGCGCAGAGGGACGCAGAAGCCTGGGCGCGCTGCTGCACACCTACCTGAGCAGACGTACCACAGAGGCCTGTCAGACGCCTGAACCTGCTGAACCTCCTTTACGTCACTCTCGGTGCCAACCAGGGTGTAGCCCCTGAAGGGCATGGAGGACACAGGAACTGCAGAGACATCGCTGAGCAGGCTCACAAACGGGCTGCACGCTCCATGTTTTCGGCTCTCTTGAATTAATATTTCCACAGCTTCCTGGGTTCTGCCACACATTTGAACCAGCCTTGGCACGTCACAAGTCTCCAGAGGCTGGCGTTTGTTCTCGTTTGGCCTCAGGATGACGTGAGCGTTAGCACCTCCAAAGCCAAAAGAGTTGATGCTGACAAGGCCACCTTTCACTGGCGTTGGTTTGCAAACTACCTTCAAAGAGCCATCTTGTAAGGCAGGAATATCTGGATTTGGGGTATTGAAATGAAGGTTTGGAGCCCACAGCCCATGTTCCAGAGAGAGAATGACCTGGAAGAAAAAACAAAACAGTGTTCTGTGCTCCACATTTTCTTGGAACAAACATTCTTTGGTTGCTATTGTTTCACTAAAAATGACCAGGCAGCATACACTAAAGCAGCTCTGTGCGTGCATAAAGAGACGCTTCAGAGAACAGCGTTACTATGTTCCTGAGGCAGCACCTACTTCACCAGGCCATCCTGAAGCCCACGCAGGAAGTCAGCTGCGAAGGGGAGGATGGCAGCTTCAAGTTTCACTTCCAGACTCATTCTAACTGGAAAGCCATCCAGTCTCGCTGCAAAAGCAGCCTGGCTACTAAGAATGTCACATCTTCCTTCTCCCTTCCAGATCCTGTCCCTTCACCACACGCCATCTCTCCCAGTCACACGCCACCACACATGCTCTTCCTTATCACAACAGAAGCCTCCGCTGCTGCCTTTGCTGCAGAATAGCCAAGCTGAAGCTCTGGTAAAGGAGTTTCCTTGCTGCTTTGCACCCTTTTGCTGTTGTCTTGATCCAAAAAAGCAGGAGCAGCAGACCGGTCAGAGCCGGCCGAGCCAAAGGGGAAGTACAGAAACAGTGTGAGAGTCAGAATAGCTCTGCCAAAAAAAGAGCAAGAGCTGCCTCCTCCCAGCAGCACCTCCCCGGGCAGCCCCCTCCCAGCAGCACCTCCCCGGGCAGCCCGTGACACCAAGCCCCAACCCCTCACTGGCACAAGCCCAGCAAAGCACAGGCTAGAAGGTCAGCTGCAAGCTGAAGTGGCCTTGCAAGACCCAGTTTCTTTCCCAGCTATCCACAGAATTGATCAGATCTTAAATCAAGATACTTCCAAGATCCAGTTTCCTAACTGACGTCTCACACAGAAGCACATCTTACGGAATTCCAGAACACATTTATGGAAACTGCAGACTTCCCAAGACAGTTGCTGTCTAAGACAATAGGCTTGTTGTATTTTCTGGTTTGGTCTCAAGGATGCCTGACCTGCCATTCCGATCAACTTCCAAATCTTAAAATACCAAGTGCTGCCCAACATTCAAAGTATTGAAAACAGAGCCAGAGCTTCCAATGTGCTTCCAAAGCTTCAGGTGCTTTCACAATGCCAGGCCTGGAAATGGGACCTAACACACCTCAATAAAAGCACAGCAAAGCCATGTTCTGGCAGGCGTGTGGGGTGTCACGGGCTGCTGCCAGCAGCTGGACCTCACAATACAAAGTTAAGCGAGAAAACGGACCAAAAAACAAGTGTGAGAAAACACGGTATCAGGAAAGTCTTCAAAACCAAACTGTGGCCCATGTCTTTGCAGTTCTGCATCCTCTAAGAAACACAGGCAGGAAAACCTCAAAGTAAGGCTCCTGCCCTGGCAGCAGAACCACACTAAACAGCGTGTAATGTACAACGCAGGGCGGATGGAGAGGTTTATTTTAGGACTCCGTTATCATTCCTTCTATCAAGGAGGTGTCAGTCAGAGATGGAGGTGCTAGAAGAAGTAAGCCTTCCTCTGCAGAGACAGACACTGCTGCCTCCAGGACTTATTTGCAGATGGGCTGTTCACAGCAAGTTGTATGTATTCAGGTCACAAGAACCACTTTAAAGAGCCTAAAATTCTAGCGGTGACAGGGTATGACTTCAGCTTGCCTGGCTCTAAGGCTGCCAGTAATAGGCTTACAACCAAGTGTGAACATCAGCCAGCTCTCTGTAAGCAGTTTAGCAGCCACAGCCAATAGATGATTGTCTGCCCCCAGCAGCAGCTAGTGGGCTGGTTGCTAAGGCAACCAGTTATTCAAGCTGGGAGCCTCATCCCAAAGAACTCAGCTGGCTTCTTGCCAACTTGAGGGAAGAGGAAGCGGTAATGCACCCCTGACAAACTGCCAGCAAATCAGCTACTCTCCTGGCACTGAAAGCCCACAGTGCCTCGGATCTCTGGTCAGTGCCACTACTCCCAACATTTCGGTGTCTCTGCACGCCCCTCAGTGCCAGGTGACCCGCAGCAGAGCTGTTGGGAAGGATGATCCATGAAGTGATCCCGAGGCCTTCATTCCGAGCAGTCATGCTCCCATCGGATTCAATGGGAAGGGGGAACTCGGTGTGTGCGCGTGTGCCCGCGCACGCAGCTGGCTGTGTGCAGAAGCCACGTGGGCATCTGTGTCCAGCTCGCAGAACAGCCCCAGCTCCTAATGTATCCGCAGGCAGCGCAAGGAGCTGGCAGTGAGAATCACCCAAGTTCTTCTCACGACCAGTGAGCATCTTATCCTGGATCAGAACACACTCCCCTGAAAACAACCAAACACTAAATCCCCCCCGGTGTGTTCACCCCTTCCCCCAGCTTCCTTCTCCCGTGCCCCTTACCTTGGCTAAGGCAGCCAGCCCAGAGGCAGGCTCTGGGTGACCCATGTTTGACTTGGTTGATCCAACCAGCAGTGGCTCCCTCTCACACTGACAGAAGACATTTACAATGCCATTTACTTCCTGTGGATCTCCAACCTAGTGGGAAGAGAATCAAAACGGCTGTTAGCTAGCAATTCCCAAACACCAAAAAAAAGACACCTGAAGTATTAAGATATTTGGGCAAAATCCCCAAGTGGTGAAGCGGTGTGGAGTCTGGTAACCGGTAGAAGGGAGAAATACAGTTCATTTTTGAAAAACAAAGAATCATTTGATAGAAAAGTGTGGCAAGCGAGGCAAGGGAAGAAAATAAGGGAGACAAAACCACGCCAAACCCAGAGGGGCCCTGCTGACCTTGGTGCCTGTCCCATGAGCTTCAACATATTCCACTTCCTCAGGTTTGATACCGCATTCTCTGTACAAAGAGCTGACCAACTGCTGCTGCATCTCTCCAGACGGGAATGTCACACCTAGGACCAAAACTGCCATCAATTCCTCTCTCCTATCACTTGCTTCCTGGTCTGGTTTTAGCATCCTTTCAACTGCATGGGGCTACCAGGTCCAAAAAGGAGAGAGACTTCCTCAGGATTCACAGCTGTGTTGTCAGCTCCGAACACAATGAGCCTCTCCAGCCCTTGGAAGAGCAGCGAAACCACAACTGGACCTGAAGCAGTGAGTTACACTGGTGTAGGAGGGTACGAGTTAGCAGAGTAGTAGGAGATGTCCAGGTCAAGCAGAACACGTGAACCTTGGTGTCTCTCTAACCAGAGAGGGATGGGAAAGAGCCCTGCAGTCCTACCCACAGCTCTCCTACCAGCAGAGAGGGCCTGAGGAAGGCGAAACCGGCACCAGGACACTCCTGTTACTGTGCACAGCAGACACCACCACTGACCTTCTTCAACGCTTTACCAAAGAGGGTCCTCAGCTGGCATTACCAAAACAGCACACCCCCCCAGCAACAAAAACCTGTTTGCAGAACCCCAAAGCAGCCCGGTTTTGATGACAAACCCTAGATGGACAGTTCCGCAGTTATCTCACTTCTCAGGGGCTCAAGGCTTACCTTGCTCCTTAAAGCCGTCAGTGTTACTTCCAGCATTGACTATTGTGGCATAGATCCGCTTAGCCATGGATCTCTTCATCAGGAGAACAACAACAACAGCTTCAGAGCGACAATATCCATTCCCTGAGAGCAGAGAGAGGAGAACGAGTCAGGAATCCTGCTCTGCTTTGAACAAGTTGCAAAACCCCATGCAGTAAAGTCAATTCATTCCTGAGCTACCGCTTACAACAGGCAGAGCCGGGTGTACGACATTTCCAGCTGTGTGGAAAAAAATCTAGGTCCTGGAACGGCTCGCTGCTCATCACCAATGCCGAAGGAGGAGTCTGTCAGGAGACAGCTACTCCCATTCCCCAACGGCCGAGGAATGAACCAGTTTCTTCCCCACAGTTTTCCAGGCTCAATGGAGCAGGGAACGCAGACCAGGAGCGAGGGCGAGGCGGGCGTTTGCGGGGTGGTACGAGTGCCTGCTCTCAGACCCCGCCGCGAGCTCCCGTACGACGTGACCAGCTCTGTCCTCCCGCCTTACCCGAAACGTCGAAAGCCTTGCAGGCGCCGTCAGGACTGAGCATCCCCAGCTTCATGAACTGCACAGAGGTGTTGGGTTTCAGCAAAAGGTTGACCCCCCCCACGAGCGCCGCACCGCACTGTCCGTGACGAATCGCCTTGTACGCGTTTTCCAGAGCCACGAGACTCGAGGAGCAGGCTGTGTCAATGGTTATGCTCGGTCCTTAGGGAACGGGAAGGGAAAACAAAAAGGCCCATTTCTACTGTTAATTTCCTGGAGCTGCTCTCCAAAGACCAGCGACGGGACCACGAAAGAAACATCACAAAGAGGAAGTTAAATATGAGTTGCTTCCAAACACAACAGGCAACCCTGACACAGCGGGGACAAGAACCCCATCCCTACCAGGTAACGGGGGAGAAAAAGGTGGGGAAAAAATTGCAGAGTTTGGTTTTAAGGGCATTTGTTAGAATTCCATCTCTGTCTCCATCAAAAAGAGGTACCGCAGCCTGACTGGCCGATCCCATCCGTCTCCTCATTCTCACCAGTAAAGATCCCTCCCCTTTCCTGGGGCTACCCCTGTTCTCCGAGGCTCTCCAGAGCGATCCCCATCCCTCCACTCTCTTCAATGCCACACGCAGTTCAAGCTATGTCTTCAGTCCCACCCTTCTGGGGGCTCTCCCACTTCTTCCACTTCACCCAGAGCCAACCATTCCCCCCAGTCCGTCTCTGGGACGGCCAGCAAGGGGCAGCCTAAAGGCTGGAAAGGACCCAGGCCTCCTGGCAGCCCCTCTCGGAGGAACGCCAGCTACGGCCACCAGCAGCAACCCAGTTAAAGCCCCACCAGGAGTCTTATCACACAGAATACATTTTCTGCTTCTCGTGTGCCTCCTTACAACAGTTTTGTGCTATTTTCTCATCCCAAAAGGGGTCTGTGTCATCACATCCGTCCCACGCCTCTACAGGAACGGGGGTGCAACCACGCTTACGCTGCTGGTCGGCAGCGGCAGGTCTGGGGGAACTTACCCGTTAAGTCATAAAAGTAGGAAATCCTGTTGGCAAACATAGCACGCTGGCAGCCAGTCATACTGTATCCCAAAAGCTCTTCTGGATCTTGGCTGAGGGCTTCGGCAGCTTCTGACCCGCTGGCACCAATCCAGACACCCGTGTCTGTGCCCCGGAGGGTGGCCGGGTTAATACCTACGGGGACATCGGAAGGTGGATTACAGGAGACAAAGTGGGGAGATGGCACATACGCTGGCACCACTTCGGGGCACACTCCTTGCTGTCCCTCCCTGGCAGGCCTGCAGCACTGCTCCCTGACCCGGAGGGACCTCCCCTCTCTTTCATGCAGACCCTGCGAGTCTTACTGCAGACTCCACCCGAACTTTGGTGCTGGCCATGGCCAGAACATGCCGCTGCAGCTTTCCAGCCCCGCTGCACGCTGCTGGAGTCTTCCACGAGCACGTGTGTGGACTACGGAAGACACCAGTGCTATCAGAGAAGCTGACAGCTGGCTTCCAGCGCGGAGGAAAGGAGCGAAGCAAAGGGGATAGAGTCACGGCACTCGGGATGTCACGTGAGCACACGACTATCCATCTCCAGCCACAGGCAAAGCCCACATCTGGAGAGCAAGACAGAAAGGAAAGTTCTCAAGCACAAAAGCCGACAGCCAGAACAAGGAACAGTTCTGCTCTAGGAAACGCCCCGTGAGCTCCAGGGGCAGCAATCCCTGCTGTTGCCTCCCTTCGCATCCTGGACACAAGCAGAACATTGCTGCCTCCAGACCGGGGCTCAGCAGGAGGAGCAAGTGCCAGTTTTAGTCAATATTAGCGGGGCGGTTTCAACCTCTCCCCATCTGCTTCTTACGTCCAGACCTGAAACTGGTTACCAGGAAGAATAAACCTTTGGGCTCTGGGGGTACCTCAAGGGCTCAAGACACTGGCAGGGACGGAGGAAAGGGCCCTGTTCCTGAAGGCAGGCTGCCTGCTGGGAAACCTTCTACAGAGGCAGAGCAAATGCCACAAATGCTCCCTGGCCCTGACCGACAGGCAGGAACACATCAGGCCATTGATGAGAGTTCTAGCCAAGCTATCTTCCTTTTCCACTACCGATGTGTCTCTGACACAGGGTATTAGGATAGAGCAGAACATACAAAAGCTCTAGAACTGTTGACTGTTCAAACGCTTCTGTCGGACTGTTTGGACCATATGACGCAGGTAGGGATTTGCTGGCAGTCAGCCCAGATTTCCCAGTTTGAGCTCCAGAGAAAACAGCTTTGTTCCAAGCCCCACACCAGCTCCTTGGTCTCCTCTCTGATGTGGTGCCTCTCTCTGGTTAGAGATCTCGTGTCTGTGCCTGCTGCACCGCCAGTACACCCCCCTCTTACCTCCATCCACAATAGCTTCGTAAGAGACTTCCAACAGCAAGCGAAGTTGAGGATCCATCGTATGAGCTTGTTTAGGGTGAACCCCAAAAAAGGATGCATCAAATTTGCTTATGTCCTTGAGCTTTCCATTTCTCTTGGGCAGTCCATAGATTCCTGAGAAGAAAAATTCAACCCTGAGTCACAGGATAAATCAGTTCTGAAGCTGCACCAGCTGAGACAAGATACAGAATGACCACAGCTCATTCTCAGTTGCATGTGGAACCTCACAGCTGTCCTTTTAAGACTCTCCCAGGTGTGGCAGCAAAAGTCATGGACCTACTTGGAGCATTTTTGCTTTGGCGAATTGTACCAAGCAGAGTCCAGCCCAGCGGTTCCAGTCAGGAGAACAAACGCTACTTTTCACTTCTGCAAATCGCTGGCTTGAGCTGGGCGGGCGTGTGCCAAACGCTCCAGAAGGACAATCAGGCAGAAAAGGACATTGTAAAAAGCCACGAATCACAGCAGTGGGGTCCCTGTGCTACTTGTGAACCCAGAGAAGTGACAGAGCCCTCTTACCCAGGCAGCTGCCGGCGGCAGGCAGAGGTTCACGCTGCCTCGCTGCTCTGGCAGAGCACTCACCCCCCGGCATGCCAGGCTCTGTTTACACGCTGGTACTGCACGGGACGTGACACTGTGGATTGCATGAGACCTGCGTAAGAGTCTTCTGTTCCCAAATTTCTTGGTGATACATTCAGAAGCTCTGGCAGGGTTTCCCATCCCAGAAATCCTTCCCCTTCCATAGGACAATTCCTCTAAAATGCTCCGAACTCAGGGCTCCAAGGAGAAAGACAACAAGCACTCACCTGGCTTCCACCTCCGATCATCCTCTGTGACCATATCAACTCCATTAAGCAGGTTCTCCCAAAACTCCTGCAAGTTCTCCGACTCTGGCAGCTTTCCTGCTATGCCTGCAATCACCACGTCCTCCATCTCTTAGCTTCTCCCTGTTGCCGAGTCCACAAAGCAGTAAGACTAGTGAGATGTCACACAGGGGAGAGCGTATTTGTCCCGTCTTCCTGACATGTTGTGACATACAGGGTATTTGCAGGAGAAACACCCACACAGAACAGCCCGTGGAGTCGCTACTAAGAAAGACGCCCCAGCTAATCGACCGGCCCGCGGGATCCACGGGGACGGCACGGATGAGGAAACCGTTCCTGACGGAGCATCGGGCTCCGGGAACCACCAGTTTCTACCGACAACTAGGAAATGAACAGGTCCGGCGCTACCGACGGCGGAGCCTCTGTGAAGTGAGCAGGGGAGGGAGATGGAGGTGCTGGAGCAGAGGTGGGTGGAGAATGATGAAATCCGTACACTGAAATCCGTAATTACAGGGCAAAGCTGGCAGGCAGCAAAACGAGTTCTACGATCATTCCAGAGTTAAATGCTAAC